TTAATACAGGGTGGGGCAGCATAACTTCCTTTTTTCAAAGCTCAATAAAACGCATTGTATGAGTCAGACAAACTTTATTTGGTTTTTACAATGTAAGAACATTCCTAAAGTTTTGTTTTACGTAGTTTTGAAGAGTAAATCATGTAGGTAACATCCCCCATTCTAAATATATTGAATATACCGATTTGTGGTGTTTGTCCTTACCCTTTCAAGCATAGAAGGTGTTATGGGGGCAATTTCTTCCTGGATATTGTTTTTTTTTATCTTGAAGGGTCCTTGGGCAGTCCACATAACCCCGGTACTTCAGAAAACTCCATGGAAAAAAATACAAGGGGACAAATCGGGAGATTGAGCCGGCCATTGCAAATCACCCCTCATCGAAATAAGGCATTTTGACAGTTCCTGCACAATCGTCATCTTGTATGGATGGAAATGTAGGTAATCATGGCAAACTCTCGTTACAGAACGATTGGAAAAACCAAAAAAAGTCCAAGGGCAGACGTATGTTTGAGCGCTGGACGCCTTGTGATCGCAACATTAAAGCTCTCACTGCATCAATGTTCTCAGGTGATCTAATGGTCCATGGGACCCCAGTTTTTCGTTTTGTTGCACTTGCAGTTTGTATAAACGTATTGAACCACAAAACAATTAATTTCCGGTCCGGAAAAGGGGCCAACAGGGCTAAATTAAACCGATTCCAAAAGGCGAGCTGGGCTGCGATCACTTAACATCCACTGGAAAAGTAGGACTCAATGGCAAACGCACGCTCTTTACTGTTCCAAGGCATAATGGCGACTAAACTGTGCAAGGACAAAACTTTATAACCTCCTCTCTCGAACGAGACTGCTAGCTCTTCGCTATGACATGAACAAACAAAATGGCGCACATTTAAAAAAAGGAAGTTATGCTGCCCCACCCTGTATAACCAACCAACAGTAATGAAAAATAATCAGTTTTTAAAATTGGTATATGGATATTTTGTTTTTTCAAATAAAACAGTTAAGTAGCATAATTTAAAATGAGGTACCGATGGTACCAAAACCGAGAACCGATTTTAGTTAGGAACTGATACCGAAACCTACATTGAAAAAGTGGTACCTACCCTTCACTAATTAAATCTAATACAAATTCTGCAACACAACATCATAAAATCTAGTTTATCTATATAATTAATACGCTACATGAAACTTTGTGGGTTAAACTCCTCCGCCATTTCTTAACCGATTTTATCCATTGACGTCTCATTGGAAAGAGCGTGTCGCGTAGATTTGCAAACTCACCTTACATTTTTGAAAAAGTCTCTTGGGCTCTGCCCCAGTGGCTGTTTAAGTTCCCATGTTATCCTTATGAAGGACGTAATTGTTTACATTTTGATCAGCTGTATAATTTAATTGCTGTTATTTATTTTTCAATTCAACGTCTTTTAAACTCATTGAAAATTATGATGGCTTTTATTTGTTTTTTATTTTAAATAACTACTTTACTTCTTTGCAATTGCTCGATTTCGAGCAACGTTTTTACTAGTTTTTATTATTCGTAGTAGTAGTTCCTCGTAAATATATATTCCCACGTGATTTTTTGAAAATTTTTAAGAACTCCAGTAGGCTCCTAGGCTAAAATTTATTAGTATCCTAAGGTAGCTTCATGTCAAATTTGGTGCTTTTATCCGCCAGATAACAATAAGTAAAGCCCTGAGCAACCTCACTATTTGTGCCAACCAGTGACTCGTCGCAGACAGCTTTTGGTGAGGTATGTAGTAATGATGAAATACCCCCGCCGCAGCAAACCTGGAGACTAAGCGAATTTCCATTTGACAGATTGGATTTATTTATTCCCGATTTAAATAGAATTAGTTTAACAAGTACTTAGGTTTGCTGCATCAGGGAGGGTAAAACTGCAAGATCGTTGACTATAAATCGATGATAAATAACTCCATTTTTTGAACAATTTGGGTTGTTAGTGATTTAGCAGTGTGCTTTAGGTACGTCCAATCAATAATAAATAATTCAAATGGAAACTGGTATTTCACTGAGGGTTCTTAGGTAAAAAAAAAGGATAACATAATTTAGAATTGAGTAAATATATCTAAAAGTAATTAAATTCCGGATCTAATATTTAATCAAATTTATTTTTTTTGATTGAGCGATACAGTATCTTAAACTTAACTGATTAAAACTATCAATATCTCAAATGAAAGCCTTTAGTTTACTTCTAGAAGTATTTTAAGACCAAGACATGTAAAATAACTTAAATGAAAAATGAGTTACGTATCATTGATTGCAATAAATACTAAAACAATTATAATTATTGTTGATTCGTGATTCAGCAGTGTGCAGGTAGTCCGATCTTAATAATCAATAGCTCAAATGAAAGCTGGTATTTCACTAAAGGTTTTTAGACCAAAACCAATAGGGTAATGTAATTAGAACTGCTGGAATACATCTTCAATTGAAGTAAAAAAATCTAATTTATATTTTTTTGTCGAGTCATACATTAGATAAATTAATGATGATGCTTGATGACAAATATGTGCTTGCATAGTTTATTTTAAGACTAACATTATGAAAATCGGTTGGGTAGAAGAGCCGAAAATCGGTTGGGTAGAAGAGCCAAACGAACTAGAAAAAAACCCAAATTTAACTCCTACAAGAAATGTACAGGGAGGTAGTTTGTGCATAGCTCGAAATTCGAAATATATATGTAAAAATGAATGCCGATGTTTGATGGCGAATCTGTGGTGTGTCCATACCTTTAGTTTAAGGCCAAAATTATGAAAAACGGTCTGGTAGAAAAGCTAAAAACCCGACTCGGAAAAGAAAAACCAATATTTTTTATCGATTGCAACAGTTGGTTTACCAGTATGCATAATCTAATCATACGAAACATGTGATAATAATTTAACAGCTTATTGTTATATTGTTATTAAACTTATTTTTGTTTGATTAAATGTTGTTGTTAACAATTTGCATTTGTGTTTAAAGTGTGTTATGTGCTTAATCTGTACCATTAATATTAGTGAGTTAAGTGGTGTATGGATTTCATAACCATTGTACTGTACTACTTACTACTTTTAGATACTAGAGACCGTTCCGTTGTATTTAACCACAACGGGCTCTGTTGCTAGTATAGAATTAATATTAATTGGAAATGTTCCACAATTTCTACAATAATACTGGTCCGGTTATTAGCGTGTATTTAAAATTATTTTATGAAAAAGATTTAAATTGAATTTTATTATTACACTGTCCATTTAAAGAGAATTATAAAATAGACTATGGGATTATCAGTGCCGTATTTAGAATCGATGAGGCCCCCGGCAGCTCTCACCAGAGAGGCCCCTCTATATTCTGTTTCTTCAAAGGTTGGAACTTCAAGTTTTAGAAATACATGTGGTTTCGCTTCAATAACTTGATGAATTGACCCTATGTTTCCAAAATCTGATCGGCAAAAAGACCTTGGAGACTAGCTAATAAATGAGTATATTATTTTTTTAAATAATAATATGATGGGGCTTAGGTCGGCGCATTTTAAATTCTTTTCGGGTTGAGTATAAAATGTTGACCTTCGAGCAATGGATACAAATCAGTTAGTTTTAAATAAATAATTTAAAATTTATTTATTAATTTACTATAATCGGTTTATACAAAATCTTTAATCAGGTCCACATTTTAAGCGTTTTCTTTAGTGCCGCCGATAAATATATTTAACATCTTGCGCGAGAAACGCAATCTCTATCTCCTCCAATTGCGTTGTAATCATTAACGACTCATGTGGCCGCGGAGGAATAGTGACCATCTTGCGTGAGTGTGGATACGTCATATTTGTCTCCTCCGATCGCGGTGGAATCATGAATGTCCTGATAGTCGCAGAAGAATAGTGAACATCTTGCGTGGTCACGGAGTCATCCTCTTTGTATTCTGCGATGAAGTAGAAATCGTACAAATTTTCCAAGTTTGCGAGGACATGATCTTCGACTCCCGGGGTCGCAATAAAATCTTGTGCCATCGCAAATAAATAGTGAGTGACAACTCCTACGGCGAAATTGCAAAGATCTTTTGCGGTCTTGCAGATTTCATCAACGTCTCTTGCGATTGGGGTGAAACAGGTTGTCGGTGAAATAAATTTCTATAAGAAAAACATTGAGGACCCACTTAAGGAAATATGTCCCGCCGTTAAGGAAATACAGACTGTGTATTGTAGTTCTAACCTCTTCACCTCGTAGCTGACTTTATCGGCTGCTAGGCTACAGTGTTTTGCATCATTATCTGCAAATTGATCGTATCCATGTTTCTTATTATTTATTGGTGAACAAGGGAATATAATGAAACAACAAATATAATTATACTGCTAATGTATTTATATATAATATTCTTTTGATAACCCAACTAAACAATTCTTGCTTACATCATGTCTGCTTGTCGTCTGGTCTGCTCACATTGAGTGACAACTATGCAAATCCATTTGGTCTCGTTAGTTGTACTTTTTGACTAGACTTGAAAAAAATACCTTTTGACTATGATAGTTAATTGAATGAAATTAATTATTGAAGGCTGTACCGAACCAATTGCGATAATTAGGCCAGAATCCTACTGTACCAACTTCATCAGTGCACCCCTAGTTATTATAAGTTATTTGACACTGTGAAATTTGATAAAATGAATATTTTACTATTTACATCCTTTAGAGACTTATTTTTATGACCCACATTAATCCGATGTTGTCATTAATGTGGCACTACCTTCCATATTGTAGAGAGTCTTCTGTGTTGCCTTTTAATATGATTATTTTTATTTTAACTATAATTATAAAATTTACCATATTGATGCTAACTGACAAGCTCTTCTTTCATTGCCTTGCATCCACTTGCACCATTATTCAAGTCACCTATTCAATTTCTCTATGTTGAAGTTTGCATACACATCACCTATTTATTAAGTTCATGAATGAGAACTAGTTTGATCTTTTATCTGCATAATTTTGCCAAATATAATTTGTTATAGGAGGTGCATTCACTCAAACAGACGCATGGCAATTTGGATACAGCTGAAGGTAAAATCTTAGACTAAGCAACACAAGTAGACTCCTCATTCCATTGTAAATAATTAAGAAGCTTGTTTTTTGTATCTAGTTTATGTATGTTATCACTGATGGCTGGGATGGACAAAATTTTGTTTCTATTATTTTAGGGTTATATTCATGATTTGTGCTTTACTATTTTGTTATTAACTAGGAGACCAGTTATTGTTTATGATTATATAGTTTTATTTGGTTAAATGAGGTTTTAATTTACTGAAATAACAAGAAACAAATTGTAAACAAAACACAACCTCTACAGTTGGGCGTACAGAACCAACAATCAAATTTGCTTCAGCTGTTCTATAAGGATGAAAAATCTACTTAGAGAGTATGTTCTATCTATAGTAAAATGTATGCCTTATGAAAAAATATTATTTAAGCATTTAAGTTTACACTGGAGTTGACTACTCAAGTTTTAAACAAAAGTTTGCAACAATTTTAAGAACGGTAGTTTTTAGTCTCCACAACAGAACTTGAGTATTTTACAAGGTGCTGAAAACTTATGTTTACAGTACTTGTATTTAAGCCATGTTAACACTTGAGTTACAAAATGTTTAAACTATTGCTGTCAACAGAAGTCTTAAACATCAAAGGCTATGTCCACACTCGTGCACTTTTAATTTCAACGTGCCATTCAACATTTGATTCAATATTCAATTCAACATCCATCAAGGCATGTGTTGTTTCAGCTGTCCACACTCATGCTTCACTTTTTAGATGTCTTTTCCTAGATGGATGAGGACCAAGCTATTCTGTTGGGAGGAATTAGTACGGCATATTTAGTGTTAAGGAAATTTCAAAAACATAAGAAAGGAAGGAAATCAAGGCCTACATTGTGGACGAAAGAGTGTTATAGTATAAAACTTGTAATTTTCCTGTATTATTTTATTTTATTTATTTCTTAATGCAACATAATTTTCATGATTTAATATACCTATTTAGTAAAATTTTATTATTTTTTATTGATTACTCCGTATTTCTCACAAACACACATGAGAGCGATAATCTTCTATGAATTCTACGGTTTCTTTGTTATTCATGTTACTCCAAACAACTACAACACGGACGACTAGTCAAAAATGGAAAGCAGTTGCAAGTTGAAAACACACAGAAATCGAAGGCTGGTGGATAGTTTTGCGCTATGGAATAGAGCTTCTTCTGACTCATTTCGGACATGCCTTGACACATGCGTTACTTGCGTCCATCTGCGTCAAGGCATTTGCTAAGAGGAATGCACTTGGCGCACACAAAAACGAGTGTGGACATAGCTGAATATGGCTTTAAAAAACATATTGTTTTCTACATGATCAGATTAATTAATAGTCTCGAGTATGAAATACAATAATATTTACCCACTGGTTATTGTTAAATTTACCATATACAGTTCTTTGGTGTGATCTATTGATATCTTAAGTTTTAGTTGTGGCTAACAGTCCAATTACTAAACCAAAATCATTACTCAAATCGACTGTTTAAAAAAATTCTAAATCTTGACAAAAAAATTGAAGGTAACATTGACCAGTAATAGAATCCAACCAACCTTATTCTGAGAACATGTATACAACATGTAGCAAGTGGATTGATCTTGAACTTTCAACATGATGTTAGATATAAAATGTTAGATTCATTGCCACTGTAAAAAAGAAAGCTCAACATTTTATACTTTGATCTGGTTTGGCAGCGGTGGTTTGCCCAGGCCATAATTTTACGGCTCGTTGGGTGATTCACATCAACTTGCCTAGCTTCAATGAAGCAGATTCTATGGACAAGCTGGAGAAAGCCGTACACAACTGTCTCACAGTAGCTGATCAGCGAAACATCAAGTCTCTGGCTCTGCCAGCCATCGGTAGTGGCAGGTCAGTTATTCAAAGAATATATAGTTAAATGAGCCACTCATAGTGTTTTATTGTCCAATTTTTATAATCTCTTGTATTTTTCAATATGTTAATAATTTATGTGAAAACTTGATCCACAGTTGGGTACTGGGAAACCGAGAATTGAACGTGAATTTTATTGTTTTAGTTGTTGTTGTTGAAAATGCCTGCCTTTTCTATTTATTTGTAATAGTCATACAGATGATATGAATGTTGTTTTTACTATCAGCTGTCTGTTTTGTGTCCAATATTGTTCCTTGTCATGAAAACATTAATGAGAAATACATTTGATTATTTTATAGTTTAAATTCGTTTTTCGTCGTAGTTTTGCTTAGATTATCCCTAAACACCTCCACTTGGGAGAATAATTCAAGAGGTTATGGTCGCCAGCATCGTTTTATGTACATAACAGTATTGGGAAATCTAGTCTACTACGTACACGGTAAGAACAATTTATTCTGACGTAATTTTCTGTCTCAAGAGTATTATTTCTTTGGTTAATAGCTTATTCCCTATAGGGAAATTCGCTAAAAAGAATATTTAAATGAAAGTAGGAAAGTCTGAAAACGTAGCTAACCTGAATCAATATCGTATGGCGAAGTTAGTTTCGTTGCGCGAAGAGGCTTCTCGTGAACGAGTCGACGGTCGAACAGCGAATAATTCTTGTCCGGCTCAAATCCCGGTTTCCTCGGCCGCGGCTCAAGCGCTGCGGTGGCGATTTCAGAAACTAGCAAACAGCTGATCGGGGATTTGGTCTAGTTATCGTCTGTCATCGTCAATCAACAAACACCAGTTTTAGGTTTTGTCGTCGGCGTCGTTGAATATCTGTAAAATCGGCCGGTTTAACTTTATTATGTGAAACGAAGTGCTATTATGAATAAATATGTAGTTGTGGATGTGTTTGTATACTTCACTGTGAATAAAAATAGGCCTACGTTCTTTGGCCTATAGCCCAGGCTATGGCCAACACATAGGCCCAGGAGTAGCCTATTGTGGTTAAAAATCGGGTAAGTTCTGGTGTTCATTTATTCGTAGTACATTTTTACCCCCCTTAAAATTTGGTACCTTACAAATGTTTTGTTTTCAGGAAAATCCAATTTAATAATTGAAAAATCCTCATACAGGAGTCTTCTATCTATAAAAAAGTTTTTGGATGAAAGAAATCTGCTTATCAGCACAACAAAATCAAATCCAATATCCTTTTCAACTAAACAATCAATAACAGCATTAAATTTGAACCTAATCTATATATATAAAATTCAATGTATGTTTGTATATTTGTATATTTGTATGTTTGTATATTTGTATATTTGTATGTTTGTCCTTTATGGACTCCAACACCACTCGACAGATTGTAATGAAACTTTCAGGCATTATTAAGCATTATTCAAGGATGGTTTGTGTGAAGTTTGGTGCAGATCCGTCAATAGGGCTCCGCCCCAGTGGCTCTGGAGTTTCCCATGTTAACCTTATAAGTACTCATATTTAAATGGAATTAAAGAATTTTAACAGCTGGTGCAACTAAACAATTTGATTCTGTGATGTTCAATAGCATTAAAAAGTTAATAGGTTTACCAACAGGGTGCAGCACTATATTTATTTTTAATTTATGAGAACAGTTAATTTGCAACCAAAAGGTGAGTGAGCGTAGCGAACGAACTTCAACCTGGAGGCGAGTTAGCGTAGCGAACGAGCTAACCTGAAGGCAAGTGAGCGCAGCGAACGAGCTCCAACCTAAAGGTGAGTGAGCGTAGCGAACGAACTTCAACCATGACGTGATTGAGCCATGCGAACGAGCTCATCTTGAAAATGAACGAGCATGTGACATAAAACCACAATAGGACAGGACGACGTCTGTCGGGCCAGCTAGTATTTTTATAAAAACAGACAAAATTGGTCAGGTAAACCAAACAAAGTTTCTGGGACTGGTCATTGATAAAAATCTATCTTGGGATCACATAAACTATGTAGTAACTAGTAAATAAATTATCACCTGGCATTCATGCCTTGCGTCTGATGTCCAAGGTTTGCAACTTGGAAACTCTTAGGATAATCTATTATTCTCTAATTCATTCCCACATATCCTATGGAATCGCCATTTACGGAGCAACAACTAAGGCGAATTTGGATAAAATACTTATAAAACAAGAAAAAGCTATTAGAGTGATCATGAAATTAAAAAGAACAGATTCAGTGAAAAATATCTTTCCTGAATTGGGTGTATTAACAGTTTACAGTTTGTATATTTATGAGACAATAATTTTTGCAAAACAATTTTATCCATTATCCACTGCAAGTAAATAAAACACACGCTTTCAAATTAACCTTCCTAGACATAATTTAGAATTCTATACAAAAAAAACCATCATATGCAGGATTAAAATGTCTTCAAAAATTACCTATTTCAATTAAAAAAGAAAATTATACAAACAGATACAAAAGCCTACTAAAAGACTTATTGATAAGAAACCCACTTTATTCTATCAAAGAATTTTTAAATTGTAATCTCGAAACGACCATTTGAATTCCAGATACACTACCTTCTGACGTGAATTTTACCTTCTAAGATTTTGTGAATTTTTAAAGTTACAGCATTTATTTTTTGTTTTACTATATACATCCTTTGTGAATGATTTTAATTATTTAGTTTATAATTTTTTGTTTATGTTAGTATAATGACGCTATTCGTCTAAACTTTATGAATAAAGAATATTTGATTGATTAATTGATATACATCCGTGAACGCGATAACTGTCGAAAATCTAACAATTTTAGAATACGAAAAAGAACGTGAGAAACTTAATGTAAAAGAAGAGCTAAATATTTATATACACAACAAAAAGGACCCCAACAACATACTTAACACAATGATTCCAAAATTAAACCAACCTATCTACGATAAAATTGAAAAACTAAGGAAGAAAAGAAAAACATTCATATAGTATAGTGAAAAATTAATACCAAAATTTTTTAAGATTTAGTTAACATAGTTTATATTTTATTATTTTTACATATGATTACATTTTTAATTTTGTTAGTTTAAAGAATGAGGTTATGGTAAAAATGACTTGATAATGGACTTAGTTCCGAAACATGTTGTCATGAAAAATAAAATAATTACTAAAAGGGTACTTTGTTAAATATGTTTTTGATTTTTATTTTAATATATATATATATGTGTGTGTGTGTGTTTGTATTCACCGAATAGTGGCATCCTTCACAGGCACACGGCCGTACTGTGGCACCTTCAAAAATTGTGGCACCTTTTTCAGGGTGCCACAGCTAATTCGATCATTTTTGAGGTTTTCCAGCATTATTACGTCGTTTAAACATCACATGCCACAATTGAGTATTTTTGAACTCGTTGATGTGAGTTTAAGTAGCGCAGGTACACACCGAATTGTGGAACACGAAACCATACAGGTAGCTAGCGCGCCTCGCGCCGTCCGCCGGAACTATAACTTTCCTAATGCTACGTTGCCAATTCTCGCTCCAGCTTACACTCGAAATAGTGGCACCATGCCACAATTCAGTATATATCAACAGTGTGTGGACAGGATGCCACTTAATGAGCTGTAGAGCTTGAGCAGTGTGTAGAACAGTGCAACAAGCAACTAATAAACTAATAAAATACTATACTGCTACGTACTATAAAACAATTTAAGTACCATAAATAATATACTTTTGCTCCGAGTGGTGAACAATGTTTTACATTACAAATAATTTGTGTAGTAAATAATAATTTAAATTGATTTACCTAACCCGCCATGTTAAACTTCCCTATTCCAAGCGTGATGTATACAACTTCCTTACTTCTCGAGTGATGTAAAGTATCAAAAACTCACTCGGTGATGTAAAGAAACCCATTTAAATAACATTGAGTGCTTAACTTAAAAAATATAACTCTATGGAGTGAACGATGTTCAACGCTAGAAATCAGCTGTGCGCTTGAATGTTATTATTATGCTTTAAAGTATTTTCCTACCTAACCTAGCTTTTGTTAGTAAAAGAACGTTACTGATAGAAGATGAGTGAAATGGATAATGAAAAATATTGTACGTAAACCCATGTTTATTGTCGGGTCAGGTAAAATCTTGTACGTTACACGTTACGCAAGAGCGTGCTGTTTACATCACTTAGGTGAATTATGCAACTCGCTTCCGCTCGTTGCACAACATTCACCTGCGTGAAGTAAAAACGCTCTTACTACACTTGTAATGTAAATAGCTATTATGTAACCATTAAAAAATTGATTTTTGTTTACAAACATAAATTGGTAACGTAGTTATTTTGTATCAATTGAATTTGTACACTGAAACGATAACAATGTTTGAGGTTAGAACGCTATATAAGTTGTCCTAGACTGCTTTTTTTTATCTTACAAACTATTTCGTGCTGATACATCTATTTTTTTTAACATTTTAGTCATGTTGACAAAATATTTTGCAATTACATTTCTGAATCAGTCAGTAAAGGTAGATTTCGATGCATCATTGCTGAAAGTTATGTTTTGCTTCTCACTCTCAGAGTATTCCAAAGACATCTAATGTTTAACATGTTCAAATGTTATATGAGGTAAACATATAACCGAATCAAATAAAGTACTTAAATTAAAATACATATTAATATCAACACGCATAATCTAGTTCAGATTATAATATCATCTCACAATCATATTTGTAAAACCTACTGTGGTGTTTTAACCAGTCCCCACTAACAAAAGCATAAAATGAAAGGTCCTAAAGAGGTTAACATTGAGTCATAACAAAAGTAGTTTAAAAGTTGTAACCGTGATACTGTAAATAATTTGATATTGTTAGATATTATACGATCGTTTTACAATTTTGTCAATCTATCTGTTACTTTCATACAAATGTATTTTTATTATTCAATGTTTTGTTTTGTAGAACCTTTAGTATTCTCAACTTTATTAATAACTAGTAGAATACCCGACCTTCGTACGGGGTTGGCATATAAGTAGA